TTTACCTACAGATAAGCTTGTGTTTCCAAATACTATGAAAATTTTCCTTGAATGTTAAGACTTCTCTTTTGCCTTTTCCACAATTCACACCCCAAGGTGTGAATTTTTCCACCATCTTGTTTTTTTTTCCTTCCCTCTCTCAAGGTTGTTGTATTAAAAATAATTTTTATTACAAGAGTAGTACATTTGTATTATAGAAAATGAAAAAAATTAAAAGTAAGAAAATAAAAATATTACATTTTGACACTCAGAAATCTCAAGACAACTTTGTGTATTCCCTTCAATTTTTTTCAGTGCATATATATTTATATGTGTTATTTATTTTGTCAAAAAGACAAATTGAAATTGTTATTGTGTAAACTTTTGTCTGTCATGTTGCTTTCTTCCTGTTAATGTTGTGATCATACTCAGATTTCTCTAATTCACTCAACAATATTCTTTACAGCTAGTTTTCCAAACCAGAATCTAATTTTAGACAATATAGATGCAACTGGTTGTTAAGTCTGTTTTGGTAGTGGTAGTGGTGATTGGTTAGTTGTTTGTTTTTCTAACTCTAATTTGTCAAAGTGACTAAGTGACACAGTGTTGTGAATATCCTTCTTCTGGATTTGTTCAGTTTTCTTGCTGTGTCATTTATCATGTTTGTCTATCCCCTGTTTATGATAAATTATAAATTCTAAAAGCGTAGTGGATTCACTTTGAACATTTGGAGTAGAATATTATAGGTAATGTGCACTTCATGTACTTTAAATCAGAAAACATACAACAAGTGGTTCTCCCTACATTAATGATGCTAAGAACAACCTCTAGATTAATGATCTCTAGTCTCTGATCTAGTTCTGATCTCTCCATATACAAATTAATTTTTGTTCTTGCAAGTAAACTTAATCTTTGTGGTGTTACTTAAGCACATGCTCCAAGAACAATTGCTGTGTAACAGACATCCAAATTGATTATTGTAAATCTGTCTTATTATGCTCACAGATTCTGTGGGTAAGGATGCTTTTGTCTCTATTCCATATTGTCTGAGGCCTCAGCTGGGAAAACTTGAACAGTATGTTGTGTGTATGTGTTCAAAATGACTGAGATCATCTGAAGGCTTTTTTTTTTTTTTTAGGGTGGGGGGTGCTAGGGATTGAAACAATGGCCTCAATCTTGTTAGGCAAGCATGCTACCACAGAGCTATATCCCTAGGCCTGAAGGTTTCTTTATTCACATGTCTAGCACTTGGGCCAGGATGACTCAAAGCTGAACTTGGCTGGGACGTGGGCTTTTCACAGCATAATAGCTGAGCTCCCAGAGTACAGAATGCAAGAATTTCAAGCCAACTAGGTAGTACGGGTATGACCTTTTCTGGCCTAGCCTTAGAAATCATCTGCACCACTTCCATGTTCTGTTGATTACATACAAATCACTAAAGCTAGCCCATAAAAATTAAAGGAAGTAGTAAAGCCCAGGAAGTGGTAAAGTCAGACTACAGAGGAGCATGTGGTCCTGAGTGGTTTTTGTTTGTTTTCATTCCTGGTGGTAGAGCCTAGGGTTTCAGGCATGCTAAGAAAACACTGTACCACTCTAGCCTTGTGAGAAGACCATATGGGATGAGAGATAGTTAGGGTGGCCATCTTTGGAAAACATAGTCACAGCATAGTGTCAATATGAGCTTTAATGATAATTGATAATCCTTGCCATAATCATTCATTATGATTTGCAAAGTGATGTTTTTATAATTCTTCTTTGGGGAAGTATTTCTTACCTGGTACTGTAAAGCAGAGTTTTCTCTTATTAACTGAAACTATGTTCGGTTCCTACTGGAAAGACAAGATAATTAGTTGATTCTTTTCCATTGATCAGTAATTTTCAGGATTTGTTTCAAAAGCTGCCTCAAGTGGTAGCTTTTGTATCCTTCTACTTTTTCAATATTATATTGGACTCAAATTTTCCTTAATTTAATATGTGATTTCATTGATTCAGTTTGTTGTAGTCATTTTTTTTAAATACTGAAATTGTTCCAGTTTGTCCACTGAGAACTTCAGAACTTGTCCCTGGGTCCACTTGACACTCTCCCATTAATCTACCTTCATTAATTTGGATGGCTTTATTTTCAGCCATTTCAAAATTTGTGGAAGAATTACATAGCATTAAGTTCTGCCCATCTCGTGTCTACCCTGTCCCTAGTAATATTGTTCACCAAGTCTGATTGCTGTTTTTTTTCATTTTCAGACTTACCCTCTAACATTTGCTGCAGTAGATTACTCTGTTTTTCTTGAAAGCCTCTTCTATTTTCATTTTTATGATACATCAGTGTTCTAGTTCTCCCCTCATTTTTTCTGACCCTCTTTCTTGTTGTCTAAATATTTTTTCCATGTTTAGTCTCTAGGGTACTTCTTTAGGTACTTTTATGTAGTTCTACTTTGACATCATGGCATCAGTTTCACCTCCCAACTACCTACTAGCATCTTGACTTAGATGTCCTGCTACCTCCTTAAACCTAATCTGTCTTAACCCCAGACTTCCTCTCCCTTGTTATAGTTCCTTTAAGTTTTTCTATTTCTATTAATGCCATAGTTCTATAGTAGTTGCCCAACTGTAAAACTTTTGAGTCATCCCTTTTCTTCCCCCTCCACATGTAATCTTTTACCAAGAATTGATACAAGACTGGAGGTGTGGCTCAAGCAGTAGAGTACCTGCTTTGCAAGGGTAGAGCACTGAATTCAAACCCGAGTCCCATCAAAAAAAGAAATTGGCACAAATACTAATTTTACCTCTAATATGTTCTTCTCTCTTTTATTACCATTGCTACTTCCTCTTCCTGAATCTTACTATAGCATCCTTCAAATAAGCCTCCTAACTAGTCTCTTTCCAGTTCCTCCATGCCAACCTATCTTGCATAAAGATAGATTTCATAAAGCACAGTTGCCAGGTGAATCTTTCTCATATAAACCTCTGGTTGGTCATTCTCCTAAACTTAAACAAAAAAAAAAAAAAAAAAAGAAAGAAAGAAAGAAAAGAAAAAGACATGCACAAAAAAAAAACCTTTAGTGGTACTTGCTGCTTTAGAACTGCACTTTGTTGCACAAGGCCTTTATTAGTGTCTACCCAGCTTTATTTTTTTCTTGCTTTGTCTGTCTCTATTTTTCTTATACTCAGGCAAACTAGACTGTGTTCCTTTCCTTCAGTATGCTTTCTTGCCTTTGTCTTTATACTGTTCCTACCTCCCAGTCTTTTATTTATTTATTTTTGTGAAGTACTGAGGCTTGAATTCAGGGCCTTCACCTTGAGCCACTCTACCAGCCCTATTTTTGTGAAGGATTTTTTGAGATTTGGTCTCATGGAACTATTTGCCTGTCCTGGCTTTGAACCATGATCCTCCTGATCTCTGCCTCCTGAGTAACTAGGATTATAGGCATGAGCCGGCATCCAGCCCTCCCAGTCTTTCTGTCACTAACCCTCCTAACCAGGCCTGGTTCTACTTATTTTAAGTCCTGTTCATTCTTCAAACCCAACCCAAAATACATGATGCCTTTTGTTTGTCCCTCAGCCAAAAATATTTCTTTCTTTCTTCTGAACTCCTATAACATTTTGATCATACCTCCTTATCATGGCTATTTTATCTTTCCCTCATTAAGTTTTTTGGGAATATAAAAAGTAAGGTTTGGGGCTTGAATGGGGATGGGGAGGCAGTGCTGAGGATCAAACCTAGGACCTTGCACATGCAAGCAAGCTCTGTATCACAGAGCTACATCCCCAGTCCTACGCTTATAGTTTTTACAACATATAGCTTGGTACCAAGGTATGTACTAAAGACCAGAGATACAAAAATAAATAGAGCTCCTGCATTCAAGTAGCTCATTTCTAGTAGGAAGGAAGCATATCTACAGAGTTTCAATGTAACTTGACAAGTATTATTTTAAAAAGTACTAACACAGGTACATACCCTGGTATTGCATAATAAAATAGAGGAAGGAACTCTATCCCTTCAGTGAAGGAAGTAAGATAGTCAGGAGAAGTTTGATGGATTTAAACTGAATCTTGAAGAATGAGTAGGAGTTAAATAATATGAGAAAGCACAGTCCAGGAAAAGGAAATTACATGTATTCAAAGCCACAGATACATGAAACTACATGATACAAACAATTCTTTATGAAAAGATAGGAGGTTTTGTGGAGGTTAAGAGATGTTAAAGAAAGATAAACCTACAAAGATATATTGAAGCCAGATTATTGTAGTCTTTGAGTCTTTGTTTTGTCATAATAATCCCCTATTTTTTATGCTTTCAGGTTTACAAAGCAATTTCACATTGATTATTCTTAGTCCTTTTTAGTAGACAACAACTATCTTAGTTATTTAATTGTGGGGTTTAGTTGGTTTAAATTTAAAAATCATGTTAGACTTTATTTTCTTCTCTCATCGTGCATCTGGGGAAAGACAAAGTAACTAAACAGGATTTCACATCACTATTGGGTTATCTTTGTTAGTAGTCTTTCAATCAGAAATAGGTATTTATCTACACTCTCCTCAAACTTACTCTGTAGAAAAATACCATTCCTATATTTGATCAACATAATATAGCAGCATTTGCTGCTGTCAAAGATGCCTTTTAGCCAGTGCTCAATGCCTTTAGTAGAAAATAGCAAGTTAAAAATCTATTCTTAAAAAAATAAGATATTAATTTAAATTATATCTTCAGTTTTGTTACTGTCTTCTATAAGTCTAATTCGTTTATTAATAATTCCTGATTTTTCCTCAAAGTATGTATTGCCAAACATTCTTTAATTTGAATTTTTAATGAGCATTTTAACGTAGTAACTTATAAATGTTTTAAAAATCTGATTCTAAAATGTCTTTTAAAAATGGTGTGACATCCAACTGATATAGTGCATCCTATTTATAATGTGGGGCAAGCACCATGCTGTAAACCAGTTACTATCATGATGATCAGATTGAAAATGAAATTGCATTTCTGTCAATTACTGAGTTGGCAACTGTTCAATATATCTTAGCAGCAAGATGAAGAGCGACGTCGGCAGCTGAGAGAGAGAGCTCGTCAGCTAATAGCAGAAGCTCGATCTGGAGTGAAGATGTCAGAACTTCCCAGCTATGGTGAAATGGCTGCAGAAAAGTTGAAAGAAAGGTCAAAGGCATCTGGAGGTGAGTTAAAGAATCTTGTATCATATTCTACAGACAACCCAGAAATCTGCAGTGAACCTTTCAGGACTTTTTATTCTTACTTCAAACTGTTACATCAAAAACGAAGTTTCTAACCTATTGATATGTTGCAAAAACCTCAAGGAAGCATAGTAAATCAGAACATAACTGTTGCTCTTTCCAAATCAACTTTTTGGCTTAATTTTTAACAACTCAAGAATTATTCTCTTTAGTAGGAAATTCATTATAAACCTTGGTTTGTGATGCCCCGTGATGTTTCATTAATTGTCTTAAAAGTAAGTAAAATGCAACCAGTCTTCAATGTCTACATTGTACAACTTATAGATAGTGAGCTTTGGCAGGAAAGACTTTTACTTTGTTTTGTTTTGTTTCATTTGTATCTGGGGATTGAACCCAGGGCCTTGAGCATAAGCACACACTACCCCCAGCCCAAAGACTTTCACTTTGAAGATCTTTAAAAAATAGGTTTGATAATATTCTAGCATTATAGCCTAATATGTTAGACTTTTGAATAAGCCTCATATCAGTTTCTTTTCAGTCACCTTATTCTCCTTACTCTGAAAGGGTCTTTTTTAAATCTCTGCAGAGAGTATTCTAAGTTTAATGATGGGATAAAGACTATATAAAAAGAATTTTAACTTTTCCTCTCAATTAATTTGGTCATCTTTAATTTGTAACTTTTATATTTTTATTTAGTAGTATATTCAAGAGGCCTGTGGACTTTTTAATTTCAGGGATATATAACCTATTTACCTACCAAAACATGCTAGACACTTGTCCTAAATTAATCTTAGAATGCTAAGATCATCCTGAAGAGTAGGCGTGTGAAGACTTGGAGAAGACCTTACAGGGCTGAAACAAGAGTAAGCTATTTCCAAGTCAATGATAAGTTTCTTCAAGTAAATTGAAATTTACTATGATTTCTAATTAAAAAAGCTTACTGTTATAGAAAATTTGAACTAATACTTATGGCATATAACCTTCTATCCTATAAATCTAAAAGCTTCTTTCCCATACAGATATGTATCTGTCCCTTTGGACTTCTCAGAATGTTGATACCTTAATTAAATCCTTCATCTTACTTTACAACTCTTTTCATTCAGGATTATTATAGTAATTTTCTTTTTCTCTTTTCTTTTTCTTTCCTTTCCTTTCCCCTTCCTTTTCCGTTTTCTTTCCTTTCTTTTCTTTCTTGAAAGCATTAAGTCCCAACCCTGTTGCAATTTCTAGACTCTATTATGGTTTTAGTAACATTAGAAACTACTCATAGCTATGTTTATATAATGCTATGATAATTTGCTTTGATTTATCATTAATAACAAGATGTTCCTTTTATCATAAAATCCCAGCTATTACAAGTTTTATAAATCTTTGCCTCCTTATATCTCTGAATGATAGAAAAAACCTTCATATTCTTTATTCTCCCGATAGACAGTCCTAATTCTACTAATGCAACCTTTCTGTGGCATCATAAACCTAGGTAGCAGAATAGTAAGAGTAGGATGGCAAGGCATCACTATCTCTTTCAATATTTTTCCCTGGTGGAAAACAATGCAGATAACAATACCTAACTTTGGAAGGCTAAGGATTAAGAAGTTGTAGTTAATGGTGTGGGATGGGTTAGCTATGTAGTTGGTCCTGCTTTTGTAAATAACCCCATTTGGGGGTACATCAATACTAGACTAGGCAAAGAAACTTTGTTTGTATCTTTGAAAGATACCTAACCAATGGATATCTTCATCTTCCCTACAGTAAGAGAAAGCAAGGACCTGGATTGGACATCATTTAATAATCAAAGTAAATAAAAATAAATAAAAGACAGGTGAGGATTTGATCTGTGGAGCTGGCAAGGAAGTATAGACTAAAACAGACAAAGCCAGTTAAATTAAAAAGGGGGCAGGTTCAACAGATAAATTGTGAAAATCTGCTAAAGGATCATGTTCCCTATTCCCTAAGGAATCCAAAATGATCTGAGTCCATTTCTCCCATAGTACACAGCATACCTTAGATGTTTGAAGTAGCCTCATATCACATAGTAGACTCTTAATGAGAGCTAAGGTAGACCTAAAACAAGTGGAACAGACATACCCCTTTCCTCAGTGATGGATCTTGGACTGTATTCCTAAAGGAACATGGATCAGACTATGCTTGCCCTCACCTTAAGGTCTAAGCTTGACCTTAAGGTCAAGAATTAGAGTTGGGGAGAGACCATTAGGAAATGGAAGTGCAGTAAGGTCCTTCCTGAAGTTCAGCCATTCATTCGAGTGCATCTACCTATTGAGCCGTGCCAGCCACAGTGCTAAGCCAGGATTCAGCAAACTTCCTGGAATAGACCAGAGTAAATATTTTAGGTTTTGTAAGCCATATGGTCTTTCTCAACTGCTCAACTCTGCCCTTGTAGCCCCAAATCATCCTTGAATAATATTTGAATGAATGGGCATGGTTGTTATTTACCCCCAAAAAGCAGTCAGCTGGATATTGCCCCTGACAAATAGTTTGCTAACCATAGCAAATTAAGAATTTATTTGAATTCACAAGAGTCTAATTCCTAAGTGAAAATGACTAACAAGGTTGATAAATCAGGGAAAAATAAGACTAGATGAATTATCAGATCTGAGGAAAGAAGTTTTGCTAAGGAATTATTTGACAGGAAGAGAGGAAAACAATTTGAGACCAGACTGGATGGAGTACTAAGGTAGGAAGATTTTAGAAGCAGTAGTTCAGAGTGACAAAGGTGAGGGGGTGGTAAAGACCCAACACAAAATGGGTGCACAGCCTGGGGAATGTGTCAAACATGATCATCACTCAGACCCACTGCCTGAATGCCCTTAAAAAAAGCTCACTTTGATCTGTTCTTCCTATAGCAACTAGCCTCAATAAGAAAAAGAAATGTACCAACCTGGGAATATGGCTGAAGGGAGGCCCTGAGTTCAGGGCCAAAAAAAATTTTTAAAGAAAGAAAAAAAAAAAGGAAACTTACTATGTTTTAGGTGAGGTATCTTCAGCTTCATGGTGTCCACAGAAAATACATGCAACATATTTTAGGTCATATATAGCCATGTAGTCAAACAATCCACTTTCATCCTATTAGAACCAGAAATAGCCTAATTCTTATGTAAATAACAGAATCACACATATGCTAGGTTCTACAGCCTACCTTTTATCAGTTTTCCATTTGCTGTGTTTATAGGGCTAATGAGAGAATCAGGTGATACTGTGGTGTACTGAGCATGTTTTTTTGTTTTTCAGTTACTGCATCATTTTATAGTTATGTATTAATGGTCTCACTTAAAAACCCCATTTTAGCTGAGGATATAGCTTAGTGATAGTATACTTGCCCAGCAGACACAAGGCCCTGGATTTAATCCCTAATACCACAAAATAAATAAATAAACTTTTTTTTTAATCCCATTCTGAGTAGCAAACCTGTGGGTTCATTTTATTGTGTCGTACTTGGCAAGGTGCAGGTATTTGGGGGCAAAGCTTAGTATTTTTGTTTTTAGTTATATGATTCTGTGATCAGAGAATGTGGACAAATTTCTGCTTTGGGGATTTGTTAAGGTTTTATTTTGGCCAAATAAATATTAAATTTTTGTTAGTAATCCATGAATACATTTCCAAGGAAGGTGGCTACCTTGTTTTAAGATGGATATCATTTTATATCATATACATGTTTTTATATATGCATTCTATAACTTACCACTTTAGTTTGAATTAGGCTGAGATCATTTAAATTTAAACTATTTTTGCCTCTTTTTGATTTAGATAAAGTATTGTATTTGTTTTGTATTTCAAATGAATAAAGAAAATGTTTTTATCGTGTCTATGATTCAGTTATCTATATTTGTTGAGCTGAAATAAAATCTTAAAGGCCTTCAATACTTTTTATTTTCAGCTCTTATTAATAATAATGTTTATACTGTGTTTTCTGTCTTGCATGATTTCTAGAGAACTTTAAAAAGTTGTGAATTTTACCTTTTCCTGCTCATATAATACATGCCATACTTGCAAACCAGCTTCATTTATGTAATGAATCTCTAGTTTCTGCTTGCTTACTTACTGGATTTTCAGTAGTTAGCCATAAAGGTATCTATATATATCTATCAGTCTATCTATCTGTCTATCTGTCTGTCTATCTATCTATCAATTGACTGATCTGTTTATCAAATATGTAATATCTTTAAACACAGAGATATGTATATACACATCCACATGCATTTTAGTTCTGGTAGAATGCATTTAGATCATTTCCGCAAGTGCAGGGAAATATGTAATAAACTGCTGAAAAGAATTCAGTGTTCACTATAGAACTGAAGTTAGTGATTAAAAGACCTGAGAGGAAGCCAGGTACCAATGGCTCATGCTGGTAATCTTAGCTACTTAGGAGGCTGAGATTGGAGGATCATGGCTCCATGCCAGCCCAGGCAAATAGTTTGTGAGACCCCCCCCATCTCCAAAATAACTGAATAGCAATTCTTTTATGTAAGGTTAGCAATACATATATAAATAATGAGTTGACCCTTTTAACATTACTGGTGAGTGTTAGTGTAGGTAGAGATTTCAATGGTAATCAATTGGAAATAAAATGAATAGAATCTGTTTAACATTATACAGGAACCTGGCATTGTAATGAAAGGAGGTACAATTTTCAGTATATCCCTGGTACCTGAAAATGCCAATATCCAAGCACATTTCCATACTTAATTATTTCTTTTCATAGCACTGAGGGTAGAGATTCAATTGTGATGTCTACCTCACCCTTACTGTCTTCAGTATCTTCTGCATAACCCAATATCCAATTGATTTTCAAATCATGTCATCGCCATTTCCAATTATTTTATCCTAGGTTAGATTCTTCATACTGCTCGCCTCCAGGTTATAATAGTCTGTCTCTAGCTTGGATTAACCTCCAGCATTTCTGTTCTCTAGCTTAGCAATTTTACTTGAAAAAGGGTATCTCATATCCTCCCATACACAATCCC